CTGGGAGCAGTAGGCCTGTAAACATATTTTTTGAATGGATACTTCATATTACTAATCTGTAGTTATTCTCATAGCTAGTGTCTATGGCAAGATTACATAAGCCCGTGGCGCACTCGGGAGAGTGCGGCGCTGGGAGCGCAGCAGCGTTCCCGCCGCGGGTTTGGATCCTATATAGGGATGACCGGTGTGCTCTCAGCACTCACTGGCTGAGCGCGGTGCGGCGGGTCTCAAAAAGGACAAAAAAAAAAAAAAAAGATTACATGCTGCATTATCATGTTTGGTGACTTTTTTATAATTTTATTGACATGTTCACCTTTCATTCTTCTAATTTGTTTTCAATTGGGATTATTTTTTAAGTATAAATCTTTTATTGTCATTACCACTTGCAGTTTATGGCCAATTGTAAAATTTTCCAGTGATTCTAAGTTACTGGTGCCTGAAACAAATTGTACTAACATATATTTATGTATTTGTGTTTGTTTGCTGCTTCATATGAATATTAGATACATAGTATTATCCTCCCTAAAAAATGACATTGGAAGTTAATTACTTTTGGCTTATTATTCTGCAGCTTTATCTTAAATGTGATAAAATAATACATGCAAATCTTGCTAAATTCACAATGATATATAAATAGGGCCATCTACAATGGAAGATTAACAAACGAACCTCTTTCATCATTACAGAGAATTATAAGAATGAATTTCTACCAAACTGGTGCACTTTTTGTCTTTAAACCACTTTTTGCTTAACAGGCTGTCCTAAATTTTTATTTTGAAAGAAAGCATTTTGCTTTCTTTTTTGAAAGAAAGCATTTTGCTTCTCTAGCTAGGAGGTTAGAAACATAAGGAGGGTAATTATAATGGGATTTAAATAATTCACTTACATTTCTTTGCCAATAAAATAAAGCATGTTCTCTTAGTTTTTTTTTTATAAGCTCTAAAATATGTCTTTCCATTTACTAATATTATTTATAAAAACACACAATACTGTCATCTTCCCAGATCAAATATTGTTTTCCAACAACAGATTTGGCAGCCATTCAGAGGCAAATAGTATTATGCTTTTTTGATTTTCAAATATATCTGAACTGCCGGATATCGCTCTCCAAATCAGGTCAGATGCACTGTCTCTGCAGAAACATTTGCCAGAGGTACTGTATGTTCAATTGGAAGATTTTCATGTTTCATAGTCAGCTTCATTTATTTTCCAGACCTCTAAATTTTTTATGCTAAGTAGCAACATCTCCCTTTATGAACCATGGGGTCTTTATTAATTAAACAGAGTCAACAGGGCTGATTTATTCTCTCTCTTCTCAGCTGAATTTCCAAGCACACAAATCACAGAGGAAATATTTCTAATACTAGAATGTTCTCCAAGCCAGTAAATCTCGGATTATCTCATCATACCGATTATGTCAAAGCTCTTTAGCAACGGTGCTCACTAGGACATAAAATTGAAGGGTGTACACACAAATGGCCCCATTCCAACATCACAGGAAGAATTCCAAGTTTTTCTCACAATAATCGGAAAGCCCTAATTATCAATAAAAGTAGCCATGATCATTTACTGAGTATCTGCTCTTTTCAAAGCACTTTATATGCAGTACCTAAATTTCAGTAGCACTGTCCAATTGGTTCCGGATGTTGTGAATGAAGACCCAGGTGTGAAATGTGTACTTGAAGCACAGAACTCATCTCTCTGTTACTTCTGTTTTATTTTTTCTAGCAAGCAGCTATTATAATTGCATGTTTGATGCTTAGGGGTATGTCTGTTTATAAACTTTACAAAAAAGTATATTGTGAATGTAAGATTAATCAAATTCATGTTAATCAAATTTTATGCTGTTACCTTTGTATTTGAAGTAAGATTGGGTGTTCTTTTGTTGATTAAAAAGTGCTTAATGAAGATTGACTTTCTGGTGGAACTTTCTAATATTCATTGTTCAAAGTGTATAACTACATTTTTTTCTTAGACATTTTGCTTTTGATTATTTTTAATTACCAACTTAATGGAATGTTCATATATGGACAGTTACAATATTTCAAGCATGAGAATATTATTTGTAAAAAGTCAAATAGCAAGTCATGCACCTGAATTTATCCCTCAGGGAATTGTTCCTGGTTTTTTTTGGTTTTGGGGCTTTTTTTCCCCCTTCCCTCGTACCCGATTAGGAAACATTATATGAGAGGGACAATTTAAAATAATTTAAATAACAGTGTCTTCTTTGGACCAACATATTGTAAATGTGCTGATAAAGTATGTATACAAAGATTTTAAAATAAGCAAAGCAGTCTCTTCAAGCAATTTTTCCCTTCAGTTTTACGCATGTACTTTGTACAGCATGATGTGTCCTCATTTAACCTTGCAGTGGCATTTTATCCCTCTTATGTTACACTCATTAGTATTTCTTTAAAACTACTTTGAATCTAGGCAGCTTTCCAGTTTTATGAAGGCCTTCAAATGAAGTTAACCTGTGCCGAGTCAGATACTTTAGTAAATTTCATCTCCATAATTAGAAATTCCATTAAACCATTTTAAAGAGATAATAGTAATGTGGATTATTATCAAGAGAATAATGATTCTTTGTACCACTCAACTACACTCTGAAGTTTTGAAACTATGAAGGTGTCTGGGCCTTGTCACCTTCACCTTGATTTTTAAACAGCTTGAACTCTTTTACCCCATCAGGGAACTGTAAGATACATTTTTAATATTTAAACAGGGAAGCTGAACAATTTTTAGAAATTCATTCTTGTATGAACAAACTGTATAGTATTGAATACAAACCAAACCAGTAATGACGTAAAACTAAACATTTGTACTAAGTACAACATTTTCATTTATTGTCATCAATAGACAAAAAGTGAGTGCATTTTTGTGATAGTTCCCCAATTGTGTTCTATGGAACTCTAGCTTCGTGTATAATAACAGGGGCATGTTAGTTTGAGTAATATTGCATACTCTTGTAGACTCATAGAGCATATTAGCATATTAAAGGCTCTGAAATTTTAAAGAAACCTATTTAACTGTGTTTAACCTAGTGAACCTCAAATCTATTTGACCATGTAATTCTATTCCTCCCATAACATTTATTAAAAACTCTTGGAATATGCTTTGGAAAATGTTACTTCATAATGTAGGAGATATTTGAGAGCTGCAATCTTATTTGATCTTCATTGTGCACTTGATCTAAGACATGGTGCTGCTTCTGAGGTTGAGTTTGGGTAGGACAGAAGCTGAGAAAACTGATTTAGGATTGTTGAAGGCAGTGATGTAAACTAGGGCCTAGGAAGAGTATCCAAGAAGAGAAAAAAAAAAAAAATCTTCATCCNTACCCCATCAGGGAACTGTAAGATACATTTTTAATATTTAAACAGGGAAGCTGAACAATTTGTAGAAATTCATTCTTGTATGAACAAACTGTATAGTATTGAATACAAACCAAACCAGTAACGACGTAAAACTAAACATTTGTACTAAGTACAACATTTTTAGTTATTGTCATCAATAGACAAAAAGTGAGTGCATTTTTGTGATAGTTCCCCAATTGTGTTCTATGGAACTCTAGCTTCGTGTATAATAACAGGGGCATGTTAGTTTGAGTAATATTGCATACTCTTGTAGACTCATAGAGCATATTAGCGTATTAAAGGCTCTGAAATTTTAAAGAAACCTATTTAACTGTGTTTAACCTAGTGAACCTCAAATCTATTTGACCATGTAATTCTATTCCTCACATAACGTTTATTAAAAACTCTTGGAATATGCTTTGGAAAATGTTACTTCATAATGTAGGAGATATTTGAGAGCTGCAATCTTATTTGATCTTTATTGCGCACTTGATCTAAGACATGGTGCTGCTTCTGAGGTTGGGTTTGGGTAGGACAGAAGCTGAGAAAACTGATTTAGGATTGTTGAAGGCAGCGATGTAAACTAGGGCCTAGGAAGAGTATCCAAGAAGAGAAAAAAAAAAAAAATCTTCATCCTAATTCCAGAAGCTCTCTGTCCAATACTCAGGAACTGGGCAGATGGTGATGGATTTAAGAGATTCATTCCCTGAAGGCTGGGAATAAGATATTAGGTCTGAGAAAAACCATCTGCCAGTTAGGAGCATGGTTGTGTGATGTTGTTTCACCAAGCAAGTTTCTTTCCTCATCTCTGCTTACGTTCTTTCCCTGAGGCACCTTTCAGGATGCTAGTCATTTATTCTGAGGACACATCAGGAACCATAAATTCAGAGATAAGAAACATAGTTCCTGCCCTCAAGGAACTTCACATGTAGTAAGAAGGCCTTAAAAAAAGACAGGTATTTATAATATAGTATAATAAGAGATAAGACTATGGGCACAGTTTAGAGGAATCTTAAGGGAGATTTGGTGCTTTAGAATTAGTACAAATTAACTCGTCAGGGGAGAGGATTGTGGCAGAGAAGAAGGTATTGTTGAGGCAGGTGAAAAACTGAGGTATTTCATACAATAGAGTATTTATTTGATCCAGAAGGCATTGATCGGTTAGAATGAACTTTTAACATCGGTTAGAATGAACTTGACAAGTGACAATGTATGGTTTGTCATTTAGGAAGGTCTCTTGGCTGGAGTGGAGAATGAATTAGAAAAGAACTAGAACAGAGGCAGGGAGAGAAGCTATTTTAGTGATCCAGGCTATTCTGCTGGAAAAGGAGAGGGAACAGATTCCAGAGATGTTATAGCTAGACAATCATAGGACTTGCTGACTGACTGAATATTAGGTAAGGAAAAGAGAGGAGTCAAAGATGATACATTCACCTACACTCCTTTTTACCAAAGAAGAAAGAAATGGTTTTCACTGAACCTTAAAACGTGTCTAAAACTTAGTAAAACTATTGGATCCAGTCCTGCTGCCTATCACAAGGGACTGCAGTAAGCAGTATGGAAGCAGTGTTACCAGGATCAGTACTTGCAGGGATGGATAGAAAGACAATCTTTCAAATTCTAACTGCATTCCTTGTTCTTCCCAAGTCACGTAACACAGACTACATCCTGGATCCATCCTGTGATGAGTGTCCTGAACCTGTCTTGCTCAGAGGAACACGATGACGATTGCTCTAGAGAACCTCCCGACCAGAAAAGTTGATGGTTTTCTGTAGGAAGCGGAGCTCCGTGATCTTCTGGCATCTCAGTCTACATAGATGACATGAGCAGAAACACACAACACACAACTCTGAGACACAGTGGTCCAAACTAGGAATAAAGCACGTACAACATGAAGCATAAAATACGGACTCTAGATTCAGGCTACGTTTATAAAACTTTTTGATATTACTGTATGCATTTAAAAGATCAATTGCCCCTACAGTAGTTCTTTAAAAGTAATCTAGTCATATTTTTTGAAATCACATATAATTAGATTTTATAATATGTGTACTTCTTTCATATATAATTATATCTTTGTAATTTTATATGTAGTTCTTTGTAGAGTATCAGATATGATGGTTTTTATGATTAAGACTGATACTGAAAAATATGTGAACCTAGTGACACACTTCATTTATTTGATAAATCACTAACCTTTTATATTTGTATCTTAGGAAAGTAATCTTAGCAAGCTTTTGGGAGTTAAGGATCTCATTTAGACTTCCTCATAGGCAACTGAATACAGCTTACATCTTTATGGGGCTTTCTAATTTACAAAATGCTTTTCAGAACTTGTTTTATTTAAATCATACAACATGCCTGTGAGGCTGATCTAGTGGGTATTTTTATTCTTGTTTTTCAGTTAGGAAAATAGTGTCTCAGGGAGATGAAACACCCTGTTCCAGGGCTGAGACCCACACCTAAGTCTCCTGATTCTGTGTCCAGTCCCCTTTCCCTGCACCCTGCTGTCCCTGCAGGGGGAGGCCACAACCCATCATGCAGGGCACCATGGTTCTGTTGATGCAGCTGGCTCTGCAGCTGTGCATTCCACAGAGATTCAGGAGGCACCTCTTCAGTCAACCACGGCCCCTCCATAACCCCATATTCTGCTCCTATAAACCCTTCCCCCATCTTCACCCCCACACTCTTCACCAGGTAGGGCCACTGTTTGTGATGTTTTCTGAACAAGCTTCTTTCAGCAGCTCCTATTTTTCGAGAGTAAAGGGACTGGCTCCCATCAGTGGTTTGCCCTGCTCAGGTTGCCCTTGACAGAGGCAGAGTTAGAGGGGAGTTAATGAATCCAGAATCTCCTCTCCTATGAAGTCCAGGTTGGCCTTGCTGTTGCTGATACCACCCCCTACACTGATCATACTTTAGATCATACTTTTTCATTTTGAAAGGATGCTACTAGACACTTTCTTCAGGGAATGAGCCATTGACTTGGAGTGCTAAAGACTTTCTCTCAGTGTAACGATTTACACCGGGGGCTGGCAAATGGGGAATGGAATGGGGAGGATGTCACTTGGTGTGAGATGCCAACCGAATAATAAAAAGGGTGTTCTTACCCAATGTTATGATATCATTCTTATGAAGAATGTGATTACAAATTATTAATTAAGGAGAATAACCTGTTCTCACATGACGCATGATGATGTAGAGAAGTTAGTGTTTGTCACTCTGGCGTCTTCTCTTTCCCCTCCCCCCCACCACTCCTTCTCCTCCTTCTTGTCCTCCTGTCCCCCTGTCCTCCTGTCCTCTTCCTCTTCCTCTTCTCTCTCACTCTGCCTCTCCACACCCTCCCTCAAAAAATAGGAAGGAAAAAGGAACTCAGAACCTTGAAATTATAGCAGGTATCTTAAGGATCACCTGGTTCAATGGTTTTCAAATATCTTTTGGTGAAAAAAAATTATTTTTCAAATAAAGCTTGTGTAGAATTCCAATATATATAACAGATGTGTTTAAAATAGCACTGCTCTGCTTGGAGCAAGATGAAGGCAACTCAAAGCAAGATAAGCAGCCCCAGCCCTGCTGTGCAAACCTAGAGCTCCTTAGAACACAGTGTAGGAACGGTCTCACAACCACTTTATAGATGAGTGCACTGAGACCCTAAGAGTTCATACGGTGAGTTAGTGTCTGGGCGAGATCAGACCTAGATCCTACGACTCCTAGTCTACTGAATTTCATATGGTATATAATACCCGTATATATGGTGAATATAGGTTTATATTGTGCTCACCCATACATTCCTGAATATACATAGGATTCATGATTTATGTCTTGAGTAATGATATAAAGTCAAAACCAGACTGATAGGCAGTCATTGGCTCTGAGAAGTTCCAGAATGTCTGGAGAAGACTGTGCTTCACCTGACAGCTATTTGAACATTAGGAAGCTTCAGGGAGACAAGTTTCGAGAAAAGCCCTGGAGGGAGTTGTTTCCTTGTGTCCCCCAGAGGTGAGTGGATTCTCAAACACCTGGAGTTACTTTTACATAGTATCTATAATTGTGAAAGTACAGACTTTTTACTGTTGTCAAATTAATGGCATGAAATTTCCCTCCCCTACTGGGAGTGTTTTCTAGTTTGTTCCTAGTGAGGTAAACACAAGTGATGCCCCAGTCACTTAAGAGCAAGGACCTCACGTGCACAGTCCACTGACACCTCATCTTTTGACTGCTCTTTTGTGTCACTTCCCTCCCTGTTTCTGTCGAATACCTAATGGAAAAGGCCTATGAATGTTGTGATGATATTTATTGAGCATTTTGTGCTGTACGTTATGATGAGCAGTGTGTGCATTGTAATTCATTATCTTCTTTTTTTTTTTTTCTTTTTTTTTGTCTCTTTAGCAGTAGAGAATGACTGGCTGTATTTAGGGGAGTCTAGCAGTGACTACTTCATTATACGTCAAACACATCATTTCTCTCTTTTTCTTACTTTCCATATAATGGTAGTGAGGACCAACTTTTAAATGACCTCACCTGGGTGAGAGCCCTTGGTAAAGTACAAAGCATAATACAAATGCACCTGCAAGTTCTTTGGGCCTCGGTTTCCCCATCTATATAATGTAGATAATAATCCCCTGCCTCTTCCCAAACCAATTCAACTCAGCAAACATTTCCTGGTGGCATTTTCACCTAAATGCCAGGCAAAATGTAAAATTTTTGTCACCATGCTGAATAGTACTGATTCCCAAAACAAGGAATTCATAGTCTAAAACCTTTTTTCTTTCTCTTCTTTTTTCTCGAAAATCTTTTGTTTTTCTTTAAAGGTATAAGAAATTAGGGGTTAGTTTATTAACAACCCCTGAAAAGAGACCCTTTATCATTCTCTTAAATTTGAATGATTCCAAAATAATGTTAACACCCCTTGACTAGAAAAGGAAAAGGAACATGCCGTATGATGAGCCTCTCCAATAATAAATGCAAAGCAGCTGTCAAAATATAGTCAAACAATATGTTCATAAAGTGTTTGCACAATTGGTAAATGTTATCCATTTTCTATGGAGAAATGGGACATTTTTATTTTCTCTATTAAGTGAAATGCAACTGTTTGAAGGCACTTGACATTTTTACAATATAGATACAGAAAGAACCGAACTAACATTAAAACAACTTACACACTATATTGCATGTAACTTTTGAGAAGAGGAAAAGAACTTTGAACAGAATATGCCTATGGCACTTAACTTTAGAAATGAAATACCCAAGGTGTTTTAACCACAACTATCCACATGTAATATTTATTGTGCCTGCATGATAATTTTGTAAATATTGAATGTGGTTTTATGTTGTTTCCTTCATATGATTTTTTACTTTTTAATTAATAATACTTTTGTCCACTTTTCCTTTTTTCAAAAGTTCAGTTTTACTCTTGGAGTGGGGTTGGTCTGAAGGAAAGGGCAATCAGATCAATAGCTCTTTCCCCCCATTTTCATTCCCCTGTTACCAAATTACTATCATTTCACCCTATTTATTCCTTTTACTTTGTTTATCAATTTCATGATTTTATTTTGTTTGTTTTCTTCCTCGGCAATTGGAGTAATAATGGAAGTGAGCTCCATAGGTCGGGGATTCTGTCTGTCTTGCTTATCATTGTGTCCTCAGGATCTAGCACAGAGTCCCATATAGGTGTTCAGTACATATTTGCCAAGTGAAATGTGTCATGTGGTGTTCATTACTAAGGCTTAGTCCCCAGTTTAGCTCTCATCCTCTTGGTATTTATTCACTTAAACACTTACCACGTACTACTAATGCCAGACACTTTGCTAAGTACTAGGGATACAGTGCAAGACAGATGTGATTCTAGTCCTCATGTTGGTGTTCAGTACATATTTGCCAAGTGAAATGTGTCATGTGGTGTTCATTACTAAGGCTTAGTTCCCAGTTTAGCTCTCATCCTCTTGGTATTTATTCACTTAAACACTTACCACGTACTACTAATACCAGACACTTTGCTAAGTACTAGGGATACAGTGCAAGACAGATGTGATTCTAGTCCTCATGTCGTCTGTATTCTATGCAAAGGACATACAACTGAAATCAACCAAAACTTTTTCTGTTTATTTTCTTTCTCCCCTTTCTCTATCCCACATTTGAACTAATAGGCCATGTAATGTTCACTGCCTCAAGAAAGGGTGTGATATCAGAAAGCAGAGGAAAGCATCTTATTTTGAGTTTCAAAAATCCTTAGGAATGGAAAGGATTTATGGTTTAGATCAAAGATTTGAGAGCATATACAATAAGAAAAATCAAGGCTTTCCTACTCCTTGTCCAGGAAATAATTCACCTGCATGGTGGGGAGAAAAGAAAGAACAAAAATGGTGGGGCTCAGAGAAAGGGGCCTGGGCCCCACGTCCTGGGCCAAGTTCCTGGGAGGAGCAAAACTCCAGTGGCATTTGTTTTGAGAGCAGAGGAAAGCCATCCTTCATTGTCCCCTGCAATGGAAATCATTGCATGGTGTGTCTAGCAGAAGGGGCCTTGGACAACTTCAGTAAGCTACCTCCAGCTCAATGTGATCCACGTTGGAGGATCAGATTTATTTCCATGAACCCAAAAGGATCACAGGAATAGCAGCAAAATCTGCTGGGCCTGAGGGAAATCTTTTCCATTCAATCCCCATGGCTTCTCAATGGGAACCAGTTTGGACAGTGACATTAGACCATCCAATCCCAGAGTGCCTTGGCACTAGATAAGCCCACAGAGGTTAGCATTGACCCCAAAGAAAGAAGGGATCTGCAAGGTGACTGAGATTAGTAGCGGTCAGAAGCATTTATCACCTACTTCCGATGTTGCCTTCCTCGTAGAGAGAGCTCCATTACAGTAACACTTTTGGCTTCTCTGTTTCATCATCTGGCACTGATTTACCTGATTCGTGAGTTTGGGGTTTAAAAAAAAAAAAAAACATGTACTATTTCTAGAAGATTTCTTAAATATGAGGGTACTTTAAAAAGTTCATGGAGAGATTCCCATTATCTTTACATTTTATTTTTCCAGGAATCTTGAAGTACCCTCATCTGTTCCCTGTTCCATGCGAACATTGCCTATTTGTTTTTCAGGTCTTTTTTGTCTCTTCCCTGGATGATTACAACATAGGCAATATACCTTTCTCCCCCCTCTGTCACATCTGTCCCCATCAATCTACCCACATTTCTGTCATAATTATCTTTCTGAAACACAAATTTGATTCTACTGCCCCCTTGCTACTCTTCAGTAGTCCCCAAACACCATGTGCTGTCTGACTCTTGGCTTTCTCTGCCGCCTCATTTCCTCATCAGATTCCTTCTCACCCATCAAGACTCCGCTCTCCTTTCACCTCTTCCGTGAAGATCTTCTTGACACATGCTGCCTTCCCATGCCCAGGACTGGCACTTGATGGATACCACCTGCATTTTTACACACCTGTAGTTTTACATACCTTCCACCCACAAGAGTTGTTAGTGCCAGCACTTACTGGGTTACTATTTTTAGTGTGCTGGGTTACTGAGTCTTGGAGGCTTGAATTCTGGTCCTACTTTCTGTTCTGTGCTTCCTTTCTCCATGTTGTAATGAAAATTGGAACTCTGGTTAAAGCCAACTAGTCTCTCTCTCTGTGCCTGTTGCGCTCAACATGAGCAACGACGTGCGTAAATCAGGTGGGGGTAGGAGAGAAATGGGAAGATAGAAAATTAGCCCAGATAGTCTGTTGTTTCTTGTCTCTTGTTGCTTTGGAGTAGTTTTATCTAAAATGCTGGAGGTTGAGAAGGGTAACTGGGAGGATTCATGCTCTAAAATCCTACTCCAGACCCTATTACTACATACCTTTTAATCAAGTCTATCACCATATTTGCAATTACTGTGAGTAGGAAAGTGGATCAAGTATCTCTCCTACTAGACTCTGAGCCCTATTAAGTCAGAGTCCAGATATTACTTTGCATCTTTCACACAAGACATGGCACAGTAAATGTCAGTAAGTGTTTACAGAATAAAAAACCTGATTTATTGTTTTCAAAAACTCTTTTGCTGTTTCCTGCTTCTGGCATAGAAAGACAAATCAAATGAAAGAAAAAAGTGAGGTGGGAGTTTAACTAAGCATG